TGTGTGTGTACATTATATGAGATTTTTAATGCACCTAATTTCAGAATCTGGCTCCTGATCTTCATGTAAAAGTTAGTTGGAGTTTGGAGAATTGTAAAAACATTTTATTTTATTTAAGCTTTTATTCTATTTATTTGTGGGAAAGAGAGAGGAAGATCTTGCGTCTACTGGTTCACTCCCAAATGGCTGCAAGAGCCAGGGCTGCTCCAGGCCAAGGCCAGGAGCCCAGAGCTCCATCTGGGTCTCCCAAGTGGGTGATGGACCCAAGTACACAGGCCATCTCCAGGTGCATTAGCAGGGAATTGGGGTGAAAGCAGAGCTGCCAGGACTCATACTGGTGTTCATATGAGATGTTGATGTCCCAGGTGGTGGCTTATCACCTGCTGCCCACTACACCGGCCCCACTATGAATATTTTATTTAAAATATTTGTGGTTCATTGGGATAATCGTATCTTGTCTTAGTTTCTAAGCTGTCATTAAGGTATCTTTTTGTTGGGAGATGTTCTTGCTTTTAATGTTATCATGCTTTACAATCTTTTCTGACTAATCCTTTTTTCTTCATCATTTAAATTGTTTCTTACTCTGAGGTCATAAAGACAATTTTCTGTATATATTCTAAAAGTTTTAAGGTTTTGCCTTTTGTAATTAAGCCTGTCCAAAATTAAATTGTGTGTGAGGTCGGGCGGAGGTAGACATGTGGGTAACTGTCCTGATACTGTGTATTTTGTAGACCATTTCCTAGGGACCTACACTGCTGTCTGATCCTAGATGAAGTTTTCGTACTTTTGTGACGCTGTTTCATGGCTGCACTGTTCTTACCCATTGGTCCCTCAGCAGCAGGGTCACCTGTCTCAACTGTTACAGCTTCATAACAACCAGTGGTGGTTGGTATGGCAGTTTTCCTTTCCTTGTTCGTAGGAAGCCTCTCAGCTGTCAGTGAGCCTTTGCTCTTTCATATGAGTTTTAGAGCCAGCTTGTTATATTTCTTGAAAACCCACAGTGGGGTATTAACTACCAAACACAGATTCTACAGGCCAATTTGTATTGACATTTTAAAATTATTTATTATTTACTAATTGGAAGCAACAATTTATTTCTGATTTATTTTATTTATTTGAAAGAGTTACAGAGAGAGTTAGATACAGAGAGAGGTCTTACAGCCACTGTTCACTCCCCAAATGGTCACAACAGAAGGAACTGAGCCCATCCAAAGCCAGGAGCCAGGAGCTTCCTCCGGTTGTCCCAGGCAGGTACAGGAGCCCAAGCACTTGGGCCATCCTCTACTGCTTTCTCAAGCCATAAGCAGGGAGCTGGATAAGAAGTGGAGCAGCCAGGACTCAAACCAGCACCCATGTGGGATGCCAGTGCTATAGGCCAGGGCTTTAACCCGCTGAGCCACAGCACCAGCCCCCAGTTTATTCCTTTTCAATCTTCATTTCCCATTCTCACTTTTCCTTGCTACATTAGCAAGGACCTTAGAGCAGTGTGAAATGGAGGCTGTAATATAGGGGCTTCAAAAAGTAAATGAAAAAGTCACGTATCTTTTCTTTATCCTTTTTTTAAAAATTTATTTGACAGGTAGAGTTATATTCAGTGAGAGAGAGAGAGAGAGACGGAGAGAAAGGTCTTCCTTCCATTGGTTCACCCCCCAAATGGCCGCCACAGCCAGTGCTGCACTGATCTGAAGCCAGGAGCCAGGTGCTTCCTCCTGGTCTCCCATGGGGTGCAGGGCCCAAGCACTTGGGCCATCCTCCACTGCCTTGCCGGGCCACGGCAGAGAGCTGGACTGGAAGAGGAGCAGCCAGGACTAGAACCCAGCGCCCATATGGGATGCCGGTGCTGCAGGCGGAGGATTAGCCAAGTGAGCCACAGCACCGACCCCCATTTATTTATTTCAAAGGTGTTAGAGAGAGAGGGAGATACACAGAGAGAGATCCTCCATTCACTGGTTCACTCCCCACATGCCTGTGATGGCTGGAGCTGTGCCTCTCCAAAGCCAGGATCCAGGAGCTTTATCTGGTTTTCCCACTTGGTTGCAGGGGCCCAAGCACTTGGACCATCTTCTGCTGCTTTCCCTGGCATTAGCAGGGAGCTGGATGGGGACTGGAGCAGCTGGGACCTGTATCAGCGCCCATGTGATGTTATAGGAAACAATTTTACCCACTGTGCCACAGGCCAGCTGGGTCACACATCTTTTGAAACTCCCTTGAAGAAGTTTACCTCTTCACCTTGTTCTAAAAGGAATGCTTTTAATGTTTCATCATTAATTGTGAAGTTCTATGTTGAGGTAGATACATAGAAAGCAATTTTTCCAAGTTCTGATTCACAGACAATAAATAAGAAATTCAATATATACCACAAATTGTACATAGTAACTTTTTAAAGAAAATATAAATTATGTGTTTGAGAGACAGAGTGACAGAGAGAGAGGGAGAGACAAATGGCTACAATGGCCATGGTTGGACCAGGCCTAACCCAAGAGCCTGGAACTCCCCATTTAGGTCTCCCATGTGGGTGGCAATAGCCCAAGCAACTGGATGATCTTCTGCTGCTTTTCCAGGTGCATTAACAGGGAGCTGGATCAGAAGCAGAGCAGCTGGGATTTGAACTCTAATATGGGATGCCAGCATCACAAGTGGCAGCTTCACTTACTGCACCACAACACTGGCCTCTAAATTTTATTCTTTAAATTTTTAATTATTATTTTATTTGAGCGGCAGAGAGAGAGAGAGAGAGAGAGAATGAATGAATATCTGGGAGCTGGAACTCAGGTCTCCCGCGTCTGTGGCAGGGGCGCAAGTACTGGAGCCATCACCTCCTTCCTCCCAGGGGGTGCATTAGCAAGAAGCTGGAGTCGGAAGCAGAGCCCTGACTTGAACCCAGGCCTTCTGATATGGCACACAGGTGTCCCCGGCCACATCTATTCAGTGTGCTACATGCCAGTCCCTCTCTGCGTTTTTGATGGTGATCTTTTTCTTCGGCACCTTTACAGACATCTTGATCATTTTGAAAGGAAGGAAGTGATTGTCCTCTAGCCTCTCTCCTGTTGGCTCATTTTTCGGCCCCTTTAGCTAACTACCATTGTGTCTTTTGGTAATCTCTGGCTTTTCAAAGTTACTTCCTTAGGCCTGCCTTTCCTCACTAATTCAACATTTCTCAAACTGCAGAAATACTGAGACTAATTTCTGTAGTTCAATGAGTTTGGGGAACACAGAGTCAAGCAAAAACCAAAGGCTTCCTGCACTGCAGGACTTGCAGAGTCCTCAGATTCTCATGTGCACTGTGACTCCCCAGAAGAGGAGGACGAGCTTGCAGTGTCGCCTCCACTAACCGACTCTAGAGCCCTTTCCAAAGAACACCTAATGGTACTTCAGGTACTCCAGTTCCTAAATCTTCAAGTAAAACGGCCAGTCCTTCACTAAACACTTTCCTTGTGGAAAACTGCGGCATCACGACTAGACGGCAAACTCTTTGGGGGCCTGACCTCATCTATATATTGAGACTCTGGGGTTCTGTATTCTCCCTTGGGTCCTGGGATGAACACACTGGATACCACCCAAAAGTTCACACATGCCACATTCACAGTAAACAAGCTTATTTAGCCTTCAGCATCTTACTACACCTCAAGTCAACTACTTCTGATTGTGTGTGTGTGTGTGTGTGTATGTGTGTAGATACATAGATAGATTTTATTTCAGAGAGATGCACTATTGGAGGTAAAATGATGAGTCAGACCATCTATGCCTCCAAAGCACATATCTGATGGAGAAGCAAAAGTCAAACACATGAATAATTCAAACACAAAGCACAGCTAGGTCAGTACTAAACATAAGGTTCAGACTGCCCTTATGGGTCAAAGGAGAAACAGTTGGGAAGGTGCGGAGAGGGACCACTGGGGAGAATCAGGGGGAAGAAAACCTCAGGGAGGATGTATCATTTGAGATAGACCCTGCAGATTTAAAAAGAACGATGGTACAGGTGGAGGCATAGCATATACACAGTGCAAAGGTACGAACAAGGAGGCCAGTCAAGTGGCTTTGCTTGGCAGGCACATGTGGTGTGCACAGGAGGTCACAGGTTGGGGGGCACAGCCAGCACATAATAATAAAAGTAGAAATAATAGGTAGAATATCAGTGTGGGTTTATAGGGAATGCTGTTGTCCACGGGAGCCATGGAAAAGTTTAGAGTGGGAGGGTGATGGGGAACCACTTGTTTCTCTCCCATTAGTGTGTGTGTGTGTGTGTGCGTGTGCATGTGTGTGTTTCCTGAGCTCTAGTTCCTTTGCCCCTGTCCAGCACGGCCAGCATCAGAACTTCGACCAGTGGATCAGACTTGCAGTCTCTTGACTAGCCTAAGCCAGTAGCTCTTCTTGGAGAGCTGTCCAAAACCGGAGAGGAACCAGGGCACTTGTTCCTAGTCCGTGTGCACCCACTCTGTGTGCCACGGGCCCTGAAGCCAGAAGGTCGCAGCCAGGGTGTTCAGGAGGAGAGAAGGGTCCGAGGCAGGGGACAAATGGGAGGTCTTGGCGGCTTTGGTGGTCATCCCTGGACAAATAATGACTTCAGGGTGTAAATGGAAGAAACGGGGGCGGGGGGAATGGCGGCAGTTCGCAAGTCCCAGGTGTTGAGCCAGGTGAATGGGCTGGGGCTGGTCAGGCTTTCAAGGCAGCCCACTGTGCAAAGACCAGCGAACCCCAAACAACTGGAGGAGTAGTGCAAGGCCACCCCTGGGCCTCACAAGCCAATTGCTCCCGGTGCAACGTTGAAGGGACCAGAGGCTGTTGGGATGAACCTGGGGAAGGGTGTGTGTGTGTGTGGATCTAGATGTTCTCTGTGCCGTGGACTTCGAGGTCACTGGGGTAACCGCGAGGGGGCAGGGAAATAGCCTTGGCGCTGGCGGAGGTTGCAGGTCCGAACAAGCCGGCCCGTGCTGGGAAATCGATAAAGGAGGCCGCGCAGAGCTCAGACTTTGTGCTGTAGCCCGGCTCTACGGGCTCGGCGCGGGAGTCCACCGGGGGGCCTAGGACGCTTGCGGGGCGGCCTCGCCCAGCCCCGCACCCTCGCGGCGGCGCAGGGCCTTCCTCGGCCGGGCGGGCAGGGTGGAGCCTCAGCGTGCAGCCGCGCGGCTGCGGGAGCTCGACTCGCTCTTCCCTCTTGCAGGTGCGCGTGAGCCGCGTGTGCCGCGGGCGCCGGGAACAGCAGGACGTGGAGGAGGAGGAGGAGGAGAAAGGAGGCGCCCGCCATGCCCGGCCCGCAGCTCCCCGCCTCGGCCTCCCGCCCGCCGCCCCCGCGGCACGGCCAGCCGCAGCCCCTGTGAGGAGGAAGAGGCGGCGGCGGCGGACGAGGCGCCGCCCCCTAGGCGAGGCTCGGCGACCTGGCGGCCCCGGCAGGATCCATGGCGGATCTCACGCCCGCGCCGTCCCTGCGGGAAGGCGGCCCCCGCGCGCCGCGGGCCTCGGGCCCCTCGCCGCCGCCGCGCTCGCGCTCGGGCTCCGAGTCGGAGGAGGCCGAGCTGTCGCTGAGCCTGGCCCGCACCAAGACCCGCTCGTACGGCAGCACGGCCAGCGTGCGGGCGCCGCTGGGCGCCGGCGTCCTCGAGCGCCGCGTGGAGCACCGGGTCCGCGCCGGCGACACGCTGCAGGGCATCGCGCTCAAGTACGGAGTCACGGTGAGCAGGGCGCGGGGGCGGCGGCTCGGGCCCCAGCGCTGGCTCCGCGCGCGGGTGCCGCAGCCAGAGGGGCGGGCCGCCCGGGCTCCCTTCCCCAGGTAGCTGCATCGAGTTCCCGGGGCCCTGCCCCAGCTCAGACCGCCTCTATGGCGGGAGAGGCCAAAGAGGACGAGGCATCCCTGATCTGCCGTTTACTCAAAGCCAAGCGGAGGCGAATTTGATTCTTTTTGTTAAGTCAAGAGTCAGGAAGGGTACCACTGTCCCCACTCGATGGTTATGGTTCCATCGATTCGACGTCTTTATTTAGAAGTGAAATTGCACCCCAGGGCTCACTGGTCACCGTGAATGTGACACCTGTCGCTAAGCAGCAGCCAAGAACTGTGTTCTAGGTGAGCTGGAGAGCTGTGCTTATTACTAATTTATAGGCGTCTGCGTCTTGGGGGTATTGCGTTTCACCTCTGGGAAGGGCATGGAAACCGGAGGGAACAAAGTGTTTCGTTAAAATTACTTATAATTAACTCTGAGCTATGTGATGGCCGTTTGACGTTGGAGCGCCGTGTCAGTTTTCAGTGTTCTTTCCTGAAGCATCTTGGACTGCAGTGGGAAGAAAGATGATCTTGTCTGTGTCTTTCCCTTAAAGCGAAACTCTGGCTGGCCCTTCGCCACCGAAGGGAGAGCCATCTTTTTGCATATGAAGTGGGCCTGTGTTTACCTTCTACCCGGCGAGCACGTTGAGACCGGGGCCTTTGCAGCGCTGCCAGGTGCTGACTTGATCCAGCCAGGGAGCACCCCGTTCCTCCCTCTTGGGAAACCTTTGAATGAACTTAGAACTCGGGTCCTCTCTGTGTTAGTGGGGTCTGGCTTAGGGTTAGAGCCAGAGCAGAGTCGACTGGGAACTACCCCTAGCTGCCCTCTGCTGAATGCGGGCTGCGTGCCAGGCACTGCGATTGTCCCGTTCCCTCTCGATGGTACTTGGTTTGACTTTCACAGGTAGCCTAGAGATAGGTGTGACAGTCTCCTCGTTAGTGAGGAAGGGGGGTCTTCTGGTGCATCTGACCTGCTAGGTGAGGGGTCTGTGGTATCCAGGGAGTGTTATTTCCCATGGCATCTTGTCACAGCAGTCTCTAGCCACTTAGTCCTCTGAGGTTTCACTTGTGTAGTTTCCAGCTGTTAAGCAGGTCTCACCTTTCATCAGTACCTGCTGTGTTGTCTGATAGAGCCTGTTTCTCCTGACCTTGTCACCTTTTTCCATGAAAGTGTAAGTCAGAGTTTTTAGTAGTTTTTTTTTTTTTTAAAGATTTATTTATTTATTTGAAAGGCAGAGTTACAGAGAGGGAGAGGGAGAGGGAGAGAGAGAGAGAGAGAGAGGTCTTCCATCCACTGGTTCACTCCCCAAATGGCCACAAGGGCTGGAGCTGTGCCTATCTGAAACCAGGAGCCAGGAGCTTCTTCCCGTTTCTCCCACCTGGGTGCAGGGGCCCAAGGACTTGGGCCATCTTCTACTGCTTTCTCAGGCCGTAGCAGAGAGCTGGATCAGAAGTGGAGCAGCTGGGACTCAAACTGGTGCCTGTATGAGTTGCTGGCACTGCAGGTGATGGCTTTACCCCCTTTGCCACAGCGCCAGACCCTTCAGTACTTTTTAAGGAAAGACTTGAGCTTTAAAGATGTTTGTCTCGAGTAGAGTGAATCGGAAACTCTAGTTTGTAATCACAATGATCCACTGCAGGGCTTCTCTGCCTTGGCACTGTTGAGGTTATGGAGAGGAGCATTCCTTGCTGTGGGAGGCCGCCCACGTATTTAGCGTATTTAGCGGCATCTCTGGCCTCTACCTGCTGGATGCCAGTAGCTCTCCCCTGGCCACTTCCACACATTGCCAGTATTGCTTTGGAGGCAAACTCACCCCTGGCCAGGAACCATTGGTGTATGGAGTATGTATCATTGCTTTGACAAAACTCTTAGACCCTTCTTCACTGGTTATATTGGACCAGTGAAAGAGATAGTACTTACTCTAACAGTGAAGTGATATTGCTGCTTTAGCTAAAATCTGTAGGTATGAATTTGTTTTACTCACTATAAATGAGATTTTAGGCGGAAGTAAAAAGACAGAAAGTGTTTTCATGACTGAATAGAAATGAGTTGAATGAGTTAAGTTGTCATATTCACAGCCAAGGTCACCTATGACATATTTAAATAGAGTCCGTGATGAGATGTTGGGGGTTAGAGACCCAAGGCGGTGCACCTGGAAATTCAGTCAGTCCAGGCAAGCAGTTGACCTGGCATGAGTAGAGAACAGCTCTGCCATCTGCCTGGAGAGGAGGGACTCCCAGGGCACCTTCCGCTGCCGGCAGCTCCTCAGCCACCCAGCTGAGTCCAGGCAGGACTTCTGTCCCTTGGCGAGGAGCCTGGGAAAAGCCGGTAGTACTGTAGGCACCAGGAGGTTCCCAGAACCTCTGACAAGGGGTGAGATAGAGACCCGAGTGCCAGTCCTGGGTTCCCAGGGCACTAGGTTGGGAGCCGATTATCTGAAGTAGTGCTCAGGGGCTGGCAGCAGGGTGCATCTCGGGATAGGGGACTGATCCGTGCTCCTCAAACTTGCCTCGACAGGAGAGGGATGACTCGGGGCAGACTCAAGGTGATGAAGGATCCCCGCTGTCCTTGGGCCCAGGGGAACGCAATACCCAGAAAAGGAATCCAGAAATCTCGCTTTTTAGCAAGCATGGCCGCTTTGCTTGCTGCCAAAGCCATGTTCCTCTGGGGGGCGGGGGGGGGGGGGCCTTGTACTTGTTGTTGGGTCTTACTTGGAACACTCTTTCCCGAATGGTTGCATGCAGGGCTTGCTTCCTGGGTGTGTGTGTGGGTGGGTGGCTGGGTGCACACGGGCATGCTTGTGTGGGTGACCTGTCTGGTCACACAAGCCCCCTGCTCCCAAAGGCCTCACGCCTGGCTTAATGCTCTGCTGTCATGCTTTGCCATGTTCAAGCATTTGTGAATAGGGCCCCTCATTTTCACTTTGCATGGGGCCCTGGTTAAGTGATAGAGAGCTGATCTGGCTGTGTAAGTGCGTCACCGCCTTACAGACGGTCTCCTCTGTGAGGTCTTTCCTGGGCACCCGTGTCACGTTGCAGCCTGCCCGCACCCTCAGCACTCTGCCCCAGCTGTGTCTGTCAGCCATGCAGTTTTCCCTTTTTCTAGCTCGGCCTTCCTGGTGATATATTAGTGAGAAAAAAAAAAAAAATCTATGCCCTTGGGGAACTGCATTTTAGTCTCTGGAGAGGGCAAGTAAACAAACATGGGATATTGATAAGGGAAATGAAAAAAAGAAATTAAGCCAGGAAGGCCCCGAGGGAGGACTAGTAGGGTTGGCTATGATTAGAAGTGGGGCAGCCAGGCAAGGCTTCCCTGAGAAGGAGGTAAGGGAGGGAGCTGTGGGGAGTCTTGGGAAGAATGTTCCAGGTAGAAGGAGCGGTCGGTGGTGCAGAGGCCCTGTGAGCAAGCATAACCAAGACATTCCTGGAGGTGTGTAGCTGGTGTTCAGCATGTGGTGGGTTATAGTTGGACCAGGTCACTTAGGACCTTGAAGATCGTTGGATGGACTTTGGCTTTTTCTGTAACATGGAACACATTGGAGGAGTTTGAGTAAAAGAGTGACATGATCTGACTCATGGATTAAAAAGGGTCACTCCAGGGATGGGTGTTTGCCTGAGTGATTACAACACCTGTGTGTCCCACATAGGAGTGCCTGGGTTCGATTCCCAGCTATGGCCCCTGGCTCCAGCTTCCTGCTCATGCAGACCCTGGGAGGCAGCAATGGGCTTAAGTGACTGGATTCCTACTATGCGACTGGGAGACCTGGATTGAGTACCTGGCTCCCGGATCTGACCCTGGCCTCATCCTAGTCATTGTGGGCATTTGGGGAGTGAATCAGTAGATGGGGAAGCCCTTTCTCTCTCTCTCTCTCTCTCTCTCTCTCTCTCTCTCTCTCTGTCTCTCTCTTTTTGTCTCCCTCTCAATGAAAACAAAATATAAAACAAAAGATCGCTCTGGCTGTTGCTTTAAGAGGCTGCAGGCGAGCCAGCACCAAGGCAGGGAAAGCAGAGCTGAGACTTTTGCAGTGATGTGGGTGAGAAAGGAGCATCTCTTGGACCAATGGAGGAGACAGGGAGGTAGTGAGAAGGGGCTGGGTTCTGTGCGGTCTGCAGAGAGGCTGTACACCTTCTGTTTTGTTTCCTGTTTAGTGTTGAGTCTCTCTGCCCTTGAGGTGGGTCTGGGGGGTCTAGGAGTTCCTTTAGAGGAAAGAAGAATGTGGAGGTTCAGGAACCTGGCCAGGCTGACACCACATAGACCTCACTTCTGCCAGTGACTTAGAAAATATCTTTATGGGGGCTGGCACTGTGGCGCACTCCTCCACCTGCGGCACCGGCATCCCATATGGGCGCTGGTTCTAGTCCCGGTTGCTCCTCTTCCAGTCCAGCTCTTTGCTATGGCCTGGGATAGCAGTAGAAGATGGCTCAAGTGCTTGGGCCCCTGCACCGTGTGGGAGACCCAGAAGAAATTCCTGGCTCCTGGCTTCGGATTGGCGCAGCTCCGGCCGCTGCAGCCATTTGGGGAGTGAACCAGTGGATGGAAGACCTTTCTCTCTGTCTCTCTCACTGTCTGTAACTCTACCTGTCAAATAAATAAATAAAATCTTTTAAAAAAATCTTTATGACCTTTCCCACCATTCCTTTGTAGTCATTAATAGTATTAACTGATATTCATTGTTTCTTTACCTATTTTGATTAAACTTGATTTGTTTGAGACTGCGCTCTAGATGCTGGGGCCACATCAGAATACATGTTCTGTTTTTATTCATGGTGAGCATTTAGCCTGTAGTTCCTTGAGAGGCCAGGGAACTTGTCTGATTCATCTTTGCATCTTCCATGCCTTGCCTGGTGCCTGGCACATGGTGGGTCTTCCGCCTACGTGTGGGCCTAATCCACAAGGAAGC